TTTGATCGGGCAGTATTCATATTCGTAACAAGAGTGGGTTCAAACGTTTGGGGTTGTGACGACGAGGGGTTCAACCGTCGAGGGATCGCCGTAATTCGCGATTGTGTTGTCAAAGTCAGGTATCTCCTAGTTTTATCCAGTAAAATGTTGCAACTTTTGACAAATAATGCTGGGTTCAAATGGTGAGGACTGTGGCGCCAAGCGGTGTATCGTCGAGGGGTCGAAACATCGAGGGGTCTAATCGTCCTGGGGTCTAATCGTCCTGGGGTCCAAACGGCGAGGGGTCCAAACGACTTGTAATCGATTCTGGGAGGTGTATATTCTTCACATTTATGTGACTGTTACCAGACTGATTTAAAATTTGACCCACTTTTTTCAGTATTATATCACTGTGATTATATACATTTTTAATGCAGGATTTTCTGTGCCTTTGGAACAATCTATAAATAACATTAATCCAGAAATCAGCAACGTAAATAACAACAATGTTTATAGTTGTCTCGACGAACCGGAAGAGCGCCACCTGTTGAAAAACTATAAAATGTTATCAAAATGCAGAACTTTGAACATGTGAAACTTTGATCCGAATATATAGTGGAAAGGTTCCAAAGAGTCTATGCACCACCTGGACAAGCGATAGGTCTATAGTAGTTTTGGGATAGGTCCATGGTCCATGTAAGAACTCAAAGTCTCAATGTTACTTATTGTTATTCAAATTACACAATCTATTGAAAACAATAGCTTTATAACGAGCCCTAGCAGCAAGCGTGTGTACGTTCGAACCTGTCTCGGCAGAAAGATGTATTAGTGTTACCACGATGGAATCCAACTCACCTTATAATCAAAGACTAACGGAAATGGAAACAAAGGTATGGCTGTTACGTAAGTTAGTATTTAAGCGTTAATTCCTGAATGTAGTCTTCATGATATGTTTCTGGCCATATACCCTCTAGTGAGATCTATGCTCTGGCCTATTGTTTCAAGGCATTTCAAACTCGTACCACCGGAGCTCCATGAGTAGTCTGAGTTTCAAGCAAGGGTCTTTGGCATTTCGCAAACGCATTGCGGCATTTGATTAAATCATTTTAATTAGGCCAGAAGGACCGTCGACAGTCTACCATCTACATCCATGTTTCAATACACGACCTGAAACTGTGTTCTTTGACCTGACAGGTCAAGTCCATTAGTATCCAATGCAAATACGGAATAGTGCGAATAAAGAAACATTTACATGGTTAAAAGTTCAACGACCTCATGACCAACGCAACACGAGATTTGTCGATGTTGCAGTACGGTCTTTTGGTTTTGATTTTAGTGGGAAAACTGTATGATTTTTTAATCAAGAAATTGGTATATGTATTTCGAAAGATAAACTGAGCATTGAATTTAACACTTTATACGGTTATAACAGCTCATTGTCGAAACGATGTTTACCTACTCACGCTAGTCATACTCTTGAATAGGCGTCAATGCTTACGTAAAACCTTATTATACTCTAATTTAGTCGCCAGGTAAGATTGAAATGTTCGAAAAACGATGCCTACGGTATAACATGCACAGACCAGTACCGTAAGAATGCAGCAGAAAAATATCACACTTGTGCGCCAGTTGACTGTGTTGGTAATATACAGTAAAGGAAGAGTCCATGCCATCGCGCTGTTGGTGTATACATTTCTCAGGAACCATTCACACGGATATTGGCGACCATTATCCTATTTTTTTATTTTTAAAAATTACCAGCATTTTTTTTAAAGGATACTAGTACTCGGGGTTCTCCCCAGCAGGCAGAGAGTGCTGGACGGTATGAATATTCATGAGTTCATTAATATGCTTGAATAATTAATATTCAAAATGGCCACAGGGAATGGGTACTTCTTTCGATAGGAGTCAAAATACTAACAGAAGACAGGTCATATGTAATGATATATATATTATACAGTATGGAAGATTACAACACAACACAGGATAAATAATACACAAACAAATCATCTTTGAAAACTTAAATCGTTTTTTAAAATTAATGTTTTATGAAGTCAGCCAAAATAAAATAATGTTTCAAAAAAGTACTATAACTTATTTTCTGTATTTGTGTTTTGAGAAAAGTCAATAGCTACTGGAAATTTAATGTTTGTATATTTTGTTTATTTGGACGTGGCAATATAAAATTTAGTTGTCGTAATGTATTGGTTCATTAAAAACTTGCATGAATGTGCGTCATCGGCGCCAAAAAGCAAGATGATAAAACGAAATAGAATCTACACAATAGAAGATTTTCGATCTGCAGTTAACAGTTTATAGCAAAAATAATAGCATTATGTATACAAAAAAATACATACTTAAAAGAATAATTTTCATTCGAATCGAAAGTTTGTTGACGTCTGCTTCGTTGAAAACATCTATGACTGCATGTACCCTGATACTATGTAACGATTCTTTTGATTGGACAAAGCCACGCATTGACGCGAAAACAACCAATCAGATAGTTGATCCAATAGACACAAGTAAATTTATTTTCTCCACTTATGACGCGAGTTGAAAGCATGGCCGTTTTACCGGGGTTTTAA